TCAATCTTATAAACAAAAGCATACAACTTCAGTATAGTTAACATTCAACATACAACTTCAAAGTGTTAGAGAGAAAGACTTTTGTTTTGTTTTGTTTTTAGGACAACTGCAAGGGAGGTGTGAATGGGCTCGGAGCAAGTAGTTGGAAATTAGATATATAGAAGTAGGGTGAAATTTTAGGAGGGGGTAGACAGAAGGAATGGGGAAAATCTAGAGCAGGAAAGGGTTAAGATAAACGGGGTACCAAAGGAAAATATCGGAAAGAGGGTGAAGGCATAAAGGATAGGTTGAGATAGAATAAAGCGTTGGAGAAGGAAAGATAGATAAAGCCTGTAGAACAGTAATCCTGAAATAAAATTAAAAAAAAAAAAATATATATATATAATCAAATGAAATAAAAATAATAAAAATAAACAAAAAAAATAAGATGAAAAAGGTAACTTAGTAGTAGTACAATGTAGTAATTATAAAGATAAAATCAAGTGAGGAAAAAGAAAAAAAATAGTTTCTTGAGTAAACGTTGCAAATAATGAAAACAAAAATAAAAAACAAAAATTTAAAAATTTAAAAATTAATAAAATTTAAAAAATTTAAATAAAATTTGCGGTAATGAAGGTCATTCGCTTCCTCTATTGTTATGATCCAGTCCTGATTTTTAGGCAGGTTTTGCTTTGTTTTTATTACACTAGAGTCAATTTGTGAATTAGCCTCTGGGGGCAGTGTTTCTAGGTTGACTTCCCAGACTCTAGAGCCTCTCCAGCTTTTTTTTTTTTTTTAGTCCTCTCTGAAGCAGGAACTACGGAGGGGGGAGGGGGCAGGTCCGAGCAACCTCAATCTCCCGCAACTCTCCTATACCCCTCCGCGCCAGATCCAAATGCGTTGCTCTTTAGATATCTCCCCTGTTAGGAGCCCCGTCCACTTTCACGGGTGACACCCGCCCAACAGCGGGGCTTCTACTTGTAATCGCCGCCCTTGTCCTCCAGCTTCCGCGTTCTGCGCGCAGGCTTTGTTTTCGCCGCGAGTGCGCTCCACCCTCTCCCCGCGAAATCTGACCTTTTCGCTGAGCAGTGGGGCACTCCTGTGGGGCCAGGTGTTCGCGCCGCCTGGGATCCGCGTTCTGGGGGTCACAGTTGCTTGTTGGTCGCTGCGGCTGTGGATATTCAGGCCTCTGACACGATCCTATCTTCCTCTCAAGATGGCGAGGTTTCCCTATCCAAGCCGGCAGGTAGCTCCGGGCAGGGACGCAGCCCGCGTGGGTGCTTCCCTGTGAGGGGTACCTCTGTCAGCAGCCCCCCAGCAGTTTCTTCTGGTGTTCGCTGTCTCCCAGCTTGCTAATAAACACTCACAGCTCAAGACCATCAGTTGCTCTCTCTTTCTGCTTCAGGAGAGGGCTCAGAAACCGCCCATCTATTCTTCCGCCATCTTCCCTCCTTTAATTTTCTATTTTAAAGTGAACTACACCTAGACATGCAAGTCAGTCCCAAATGACTACAACTATAACCGTAATGAATGAAGACTACTTAATTATACAACACAGTTTCATTAGAGTCTCATGTGTGGACACTCAGATTACCGGAAGATAGATCGAGATTACTTAAAGAAAGATCAAGAGAAGTACCTATCAGCCTCATGGTCTACGGCTACCCCAGCTTCTTAAATCACCTAGCACAGCACTAAAGTGTTTATCAGACAAAAACAGTCCCCAGACCAAGTCTCATATTCTGCATGGTTAGTGAGACAGACATGACTCTGAGCACCTAACACTCCTCGCAGGGAATAGGCCTGCTATTATCGATACCTTCAATTTCACACAAACTATAATTATAAAACCAATTCTAGAAGACACTGTCCTCAAAAACGATACTCATAATAATTAACATTTATACTGAATCTTCCCACTTTTGAAGTATTTTAGCAAAACTCAAGGATAATCTCATTGAATCTTCTTAATAAAGATTTTATTAGAGTTGAAGAGAACTCAGAGTTATTTTGGTTTAATTTAGGGGTAAAGTAACAAGGCAGGATGTATCCTTAAGTTTATCCAAGATTTAGCTTAATTAAAAATAATACTATGGAGATTAAAGCTGCTTAAAAATATCACAGACTATAAGCAATTTGGTTCCTATCTTAAACCCTCAAGCACACTCACTTGGCTTTTGCATTTGTGTTAGCAACTGTCTTACTATTCTCTGAGGAAAAGTGATTGAAGCAGGGACTTAGCATATGTCTGTGGAAGGTTTCCCCAGAATTGAGGGCAAAGGAGCAAAGCAGGCACTGCTGAGCCACAGGCATGTCTGTGCTGAACTGCCACTCCTCTATGTGACGGGGTGGTCCTACATGACTTTTTTTTTTTAAATATATTTTATTTTATTTTTTATTTATTTTTAAAAAAATATATATTTTATTGATTTTTCACAGAGAGGAAGAGAGAGGGATAGAGAGTTAGAAACATCGATGAGAGAGAGTCATCGACCAGCTGCCTCTTGCACACCCCCTACTGGGGATGTGCCCGCAACCAAGGTACATGCCCTTGACCGGAATCGAACCCGGGACCTTTCAGTCCGCAGACCAACGCTCTACCACTGAGCCAAACCAGTTTTGGCCTACATGACTTTTGTGTCCCACACTATGTAATAATTGTTCTAGGATAAGATAATTTTCTAGATGTTTCAATGGGACAAAATAAAAATCACTGAAGAGAGCTTAAAGGACACTATTTGGGGGCATGTTGGCTATGATCACTACCTTTGGAGAACTGGGAGCTCTGCTTTAGAAACTAAAGTTTAATATACTTTACTAGAGGCCTGGTGCATGAAAATTCATGCAATAGAGAGGGGTCCTTGAGCTGGGCCTGCCCCTTCTCACAGTCTGGGAGCCCTCAGGGGCAGTAGGCAACCCAGTGACCTGGGAAAGGCAACGCCCCATCACACCACTGCTGCTGCCACTGCCAGCAGCCCAAGCCTTGCCTGGTTCTAGTTACCTGAATCTCGGGCAGCCCTGGGCAGCTGAGCAGCCACCATCCGAGGCCTTGCCTGCGCCTTGGGCTGACCCTGGGTGCCTGAAGATACTGGGGGACTCTGGAGGCAAGTGCACCCAGCCTTGCCACGTGCCTTCTGCCCCAGCAGGGCTGAGGGGACTAGGTGCCACAATCTTGTGGCTATGGGCACTGCCATCTTTGAGGGTGGAGCAGTCAATTAGCATATTCCCTTCTTATTGGCTGTCGGTTCCACCCTCTTTGCAATGGTGTGAGGGCAATTAGCATATTCCCTCTTTATTAGATAGGATAAATACAAAGAATTATGTTTCTTGAGATTATTAGGGTTGTGATCCAGACTTCCTCTCCACACTTCAGTGTCTGCCAGTTTGAGGAAATGTTGTTCTGTGATCACACAGTTTCCTCCCCTGGGCCATGGCCTTTCCTACACTGCCATGCAGTTGGTTTGGAGCCATGTAATTGTGTTTCCATTGAAGGTGACACAAGGCCTTTAAACACGTGTGGTGCCACTGGCTTTAATCACTTTGCCATCATCTCCCATAGCAACTATTTACTCATCCTTAAAGTTTCTAGTGCAATGTTAGCTCAACAGAATGTACATTCCATGAAATAAAGGGGCTCTGCGTAGCTGGCTGCTGTATTTCTGGAGAAGTGCCTGGTATGTAGCAAGTGCTCAATAAATATTTGTTAAACAAATGGAGCAAATAAAAGCTGAGTGAGTGCTTCTGTGAAGCCTTTCTTTACCATACCCTTGACCAAGTTAGATACTCTTTCATCATCTTTATGTAGCTATGTTTTAATCTCGCTTTATATTTATACTAGATACCTGATGCATGAAATTTGTGTAAGAGTAGCCTTTTCTTCCCCCTGCTGCCGGCAGACACCAAGGACCTGGGCTTCTCTCACAGCCCCCGTTTCATTTGGAAGGTCATCCGGAAGGATGTCCGGTCTAATTAGCATATTACACTTTTATTATTATAGAATTTTGTGTCTGTTTCACTGAACATGGACTAGAGAGCAAAGATACTATGCATCTTTTTTTTTTTTTTAAATCCTCAACTGCCTAGCAGTACAACAGGCAGAAGCAGACACACTAATTAAAATTAAAGTATTAAATTTAATTCTTAGTCATTTTGATAACTGTTGACTACATAAGAAGACAATATAATTTGAAACTGAATCCTCAGCTCACCTTCCACACTTCAGAGGTGTCCCAGACAATGCAGAAAAAATGCAAATGTGGCTGAACAACAGTGAGCACACATTATACCCACTTTATTAACCAAACAAATTATAGGTAATGACTGCAGATGGAGCATAAGCAAAATCTTAAGTAGTTTATTATACTAAGAGGCAAAAAATAAAAAGTTCACTGTCTTTAAAAATTGTTACCAAATGATTATTTTTTTAAACTAAAATCCAATAATCAACCTTATAAGATCTCACTTATTAAGAAGTCTGATCTAAGCACTACATTAATAAAAATTTTCTCAATATTTATGATTGGAAATGAATGACATGGTCATTAGAAATTTATTCACAGACAGTTACGTTAATAAAAAGGCAGCCTAACAACAGTAAAAGTTAAAGATTTTTAAAAAATGCTTAACAAAATCAATCCGAGTTTCCAATTATGACAACACTGAAAATATATGAGAATTCCATTTAAAATATTTGCCAAGCTTTGTTCTTCCTCTGAAATTTTTCTCATATTCGACTGCTCAAAATGCAAAAATATTAAATTTAATTCTTAGTCAATTTGATTAAAAGTTACAGCATTTTTTTTTTCTGGGTACAACAGAATGAACACTGTGAGACTTCTCCCGTACATTTTTTCCTGTTCAGTGCCCAGAGGCAACAGACTAAAGTGGCACAAGTAAGCAAACATGGTCAGGTTCGCTCATGGCTCAACAACCCACACGAAGCTGATGTTTTCTCCTGGTCTACTCAATGGTACAAGTGTAGTGGAAGCAAATTACTGATATTATAGTTATTCTGCACTTACAGGTTGGAGCAGGTAGATGAGAGATTCCTCTTGGATGATTATAATTGGCAAAGGAGTGATGCGAGCTGCTTGGAACAAGGTGCTCACGGATGCCATGATCTGGTCAAAACGCCCACCAAGTCCTCCCATTGTCACAATCACATTGACCTGAGCAAGGCAAAGCAAAACTGGAGTCAACTGTTAATAGATCTTATATAATAAAAGCCCAGCGACTGAATGGTGGAATGACCAGTTGCTACGACACGCAATGACCATCAGGGGGTAGACACTTAGTGTAGAAGCTGCCCCCTGGTGGTCAGTGTGCTCCCACAGTGGAAACACCACTCAGCTGACTGGGATGGGCAGTACTCCCACAGCAGGCCAATCCCTACAGGCCACGTGCATGAATCACATGCACCAGGCCTCTAGTTTTAAATAACTAAATAGTATCAAATACCTCAATAGAGCTTCTGATGTTACATGTTTATCAGATAACCCATAAAGAAAAAGGCAGATACCATTTCTCTGTTTCAGGTGAAGGACTTTATTTATTCAAGGTCACAGAATTGATAAATGGCAGAGTCAAGTTTCAAGACCAATTCTTTCAAGTACAAATTTTACATTTTTCCCACCTGCCTATTCACCTGACCAACCAGACAACTCTTCCTTCAAAATTCTGTCCATGTGTTCCTCCTGATTTTATAGTTAGTGCGCCTCGCATGTACTCCCAGAGCACACCTGTTGGTGCTTACTTAATAACACCCAGTAATGGACACTGAGCCCACTTTACCAGTTGTCACCTACTAGAATTCTAGTTTCTTGAGGACCTGTACTGTCTCTCAACTGAACCTGCAAGGTACCTAAACTTCTGTAACTCATTCGTAAGTTCACATGTAAATAGTGGACAATAATGGACAATTAATAGAGTTGTTGTAAGGTTTAAATGAGGAAATCACATGAGTTATAAGTGTAAAGCATTTGGAACATCTTTTATAACATTGTGATAGTTTTAAAAAGTCCTATTCTTCCATTACCTTCATTATTTTGGGTATCATTACATCTGTATATGATTAATATTTTTTGTTATTGTTATATATAGTTTGGTTGCTACTTTTTTTACTTAACACTTTAAATAGAGCAGTTCTTATTACTATAACATAGTTAATTTAAATGTTTCCCTGTTGTTGAAAATACTTTTCCAGGATATCCTATAAAATAAGAGATAATATACAAATTGACCATCATTCCCACACACAAGATGGCTGTCTCATGTGGTCAAAGATGGGCTCCCTCATGTGGGCACAAGATGGCCACCACAAGATGGCCAGCAGGGGAGGGCAGTTGTGGGCAATCAGGCCAGCAAGGGAGGGCAGTTAGGGGTGACCGAGTCAGCAGAGGAGGGCAGTTGGCAGGGGGGAACCAGGCCTGCAGGGGTAAACAGTTAGGGGTGACCAGGTCGGCAGGGGAGGGCAGTTAGGGGCGTCCAGGCTGGAAGGGAGGAAACTTAGGGGTGACCAGGCCAGCAGGGGAAGGCAATTTGGGGTCTTGGTTAGCTTGCGAGCCACATGTGAGTCTATTTTGAAGAATTGGTATTAGAAGAAATTTAAGTTTAAAAAATTTGGCTCTCAAAAGAAATTACAATTGTTGTTCTGTTGATATTTGGCTCTGTTGACTAATGAATTTGCCGACCACTGTCCTAGGGCAAGGGAAATAAAGGAGAAAATAAACAAAAAGGACTTTATCAAAATAAAAAGCTTCTGCACAGTAAAATAAACCATCATCAAAATGAAAAGGGAACCCAATGTATGGGAGAACAGATTTGTTAATGATTCATCTGATGAGTTAATTTCTAAAATATAAAAGGAACTAATACAACTTAACAAAAGGAAGACAAACAATCCAATTAAAAAATGGGTAAATGACCTAAATAGACACTTCTCCAAAGTGAACATACAAATGGCTAAGAGATACATGGAAAAAAAAAAAAAAAAAAGCTCAAAGTCCCTGATCATCAGGGAGATTCAAATGATAATAACAATGAGGTATCACCTCACACCTGTCAGAGTGTCTATCATCAACAAATCAACAAATGACAAGTGCTAGTGAAGATGTGAAAAAAAAAAAAAAAAAAAAAAAAAAAAAAAAAAAAAAAAAAAAAAAAAAAAAAAAAAAGGAACCCTAGCATTCTGCTGACGGGAATGCAGACTGGTGCAGCCACTATGAAAGACAGTATGACGTTTCCTCAAAAAACTAAAAATCAAATTGCCATTTTACCCAGGGATCCCACTTCTAGGAATATATCCAAAGAATTCCAAAACACCAATCAGAAAGAATATATGCACCCCTATGTTCATAGCAGTACATTTTATAATAAGATAATATCAGGAAAGAGCCCAAGTGCCCATCAGGAGATGAGCTGATAAAAAAATGTTGCTTATTTACTCCATGGAATACTATGCAGCTATAAAAACAAGCATCTCTTACCCTTTCAGACAGTATGGAGAGAACTGGCAAGTGTTATGCTAGGCACAATAAGCCAATCAGATAAAGATAAGTGTCACATGATCTCACTTATATATGGAATCTAATGAACAAAATAAACTGATGAACAAAAAAAAGATCCAAAGACAAAGAAACATGGAACAGATTGATAAATCAAAGGGAAGTGGGGTAGGAGGATAGATGGGGAGATTAACTAGGGAACTTATATGTATACTAGAGGCTCAGTGCAAGAAAATTCGTGCATTGGTGCGAGGCAGGGGCGTTTTCCCTCAGCTCAGGACTCCTCGAAGTCCACCTGATGGCTTAGGCCTGTTCCTGAGGGTTCCCAGGCTGCCAGAGGGATGTCTGACTGCCAGTTGAGGCACAACCCTCCAGGGAGCGGGCCTAAGCTTGCTAAGGAGACGGGAAAGGCTTCTACCACCACTGCTGCACTCACAGCAGTCAACCCGGATTGTGGCTGAGCAGAACTCCCCCTGTGGTAGTGCACTGACCACTGAGGGCAGCTCCTGCATTGAGAGTCTGCTCCCTGGTGGTCAGTGGCACATAATTAACCAATCGTTCCTGGTCTTTCTGCTATTGGGGTCAATTTGCATATTACTCTTTTATTATATAGTCTATACATAGCCCATAGACACAGACAATAGTTGTAGGCCTGAAGGGGTCAATGGGGATAAAAGGGGAGACATCTATAATACAATAAAGATTAATTTTTAAAAATTCACATACATGATACTCTACAAAGTTAGATATTTAGAATGTTCAGAATGTTCACAGTACTAAACGATATTTTCCCATTCTGTGGAAACTGGCTTATGAGATACCAGGATATGGAACCTGTAGCCTCTTCCTTAGCCATTCCTACCACGAAGCCAGTGGAGAAGAGACAGATAATTTTCCAAACTTTTCTGCAAACAGATTGGCTTCGGTTAAAAAGTAAGTGGTTCCAGAAGATTAGTATTTCTGCATGTGATCATTTTTAAATATCCTATCTTGCATCATCATAATTCATTTTTACTCAACAATATTTCTTGCTTTGCTTCAGCCATAATGCAAGTCTTTGCTGCATATTCTTGTCCAAAGTGATAAATGAAACTCTTGGTCTCCATGTCTGGATGGATTAGATTCTGCTGTTGAAAGTACTTTAAGGGCATTCTTTCCCCAGAGTATAGGGGTATAAACTCCCTTCATTTTTTATTAACCAATGGATAATCGGTGACTATCAGACTGGTGTAATGCAATCTTCTGTTTTTTATAATCTGAAGCAATAAAAATAGTTTATGCTAATTACCCCTTTTCTTATTCTGGAAGAACAGAAAACATTCTGATTGCAAATTTTGTATTTAGTTTAGCATTCTGGTTTCTAGATATGCACTGGACCATTTTAGAATGCTGAATGAGAATGTTAAAACTGTTACAGTTGTTCTGGCTGGTGTGACTCAGTGTTTGGATCATCAGCACATGCACCAAAGGGTCTTAGGTTTACTTGCCTAACAAGGGCATGTACCTTGGTTGCAGATTCAATCCTCAGACACAACCAATTGATGTGTCTCTCTTACATTGATGTTTCTCTCTTTTTCCACTCCCTCCCAGACACTCTAAAAATGAATGGAAAAAAATATCATTGGGTGAGAATTCATTCACACACACACACACACACACACACACACACACACACACACCTGTTACTTGCAGTGACATTGATTACTTAAAGCTTATTTCTTGCCATGTGGTAAGTTTGCTTCAGGTAATACATTTGTATAAAGTAATTGATTACCTCATCATCCCCAGGTTCACCTTGAAGTTATAAGCAAATGTACTGCATATTCATGAACATCATAGTAAACTGAGTGCAATATAGGGTAAAATACTTGTTCAATTATAATTTCCTCTTTATGAAATAATTTATTTATATGTATGCTTTACAAACAGAATTTTTTGGGGTCAATTATATAGGCATCTAAAATTTCTAATAGAAATGGATGATGAAACAGAATTAAAGTTTAATCAGTCTATTTGAATTCAGACAGACACATTTCTAATGTGCATCAAAATAACTTGATCCAAATGGTTCAGACTGGGAATTATATATATTCACATATATGTAGAGAGGGGAACGTACATAGTACATCCAGGAAGAAGCTGGTACCATCTGATTTTTACTCTATGCATCTTTTAGTGCGCCACCTGCTGTTCTGAACCAGTACTTTTACCATGGAATGCTAAATTGAACTACTTGGAAAACAAGAGCGTATGGAAACAGAAAGACATCTTCTACCGCCAGCTATTAAGATAAGAAAAAAATGGACAGTGAATACTATAGGTTTCCATCTTCTCTGATGTAAATGGAACTTTCTGAGATTACACACACACACACACACACACACACACACACACGTCTTTCTATGTATATATTCTCTTCTCAGGATCACTTACTTGCCACTGAAAATATGTTAATTTTATATGCAAACCCTCATGATAAACAGAAAATCATTCTAGCTCTTCAGTCGTGACTCAAACTGTAAGTTGATCACACCTTTAAAATGTAGACACTACTAACACTGTAAATAATCATAATTACAGATGTAGCTATTTTAATATGTAATGTGTATCTTGCTAAGGAATACTCGAAATAAGGAGACATTTTATAATCTACTCAGTGTTTTCAGAATTTTTTTTATATGTGTATTACTCTTACAAATGTCCTCAAGATATACTTTCCTCCTCTCTCTGCAATTTCTGTATCTTTGCAATGCAGTAATTCAAAATGAAAAGTCCTTTCACACAAGGTCAGCATTCCTCTGCAGAGGAGCTCCACCCCAGCTATATCTGTAATTCTCTGCATTAATAAGAAATCTTATCTGGCAAGTGAGCCATCCAACTGAGATTCTTGGTAGCACATAATCTTACACACTGTCCCAGGGCATATAAAAGCATGCTTTTCCCCCAGCAGGGATGGCTTAGGCTGCCACAGCCCGTGAGGCAGTAAGCTTTTTATATTCTTCACAATATGTCCAGAATCTCTTCAAAGCACTGGCCTCATCTATTTTCTCTTGTTGCACAGCACTATAAAAGAGATTGCTGGTTTCTAAGAAGAAGGGAAAACAGAGATGTGATTTCCTCTTTTGAAGGCATCTCCAAAATGATCTAGGAATAGCCTGCTAGTTCACATCAGACTCAGAAATATTTTCCCTCCTCCTTGCTTCTTTGTGATACTTGGCTCACCCAGTTGTTCCAAAACATGGATCATAAATGAGAGAAGTCCTCATGGATATGAGCTGCAATTTCATTATTTTTAAAAAAAATCACATTATTCCATTTTCTGAAATGATATAAACAATCATTACAAGAACAATCTATTTGGAATAGGCGCATTAAAGCCTTTATAGACTTAAATTAATTATGCCATGGTTACCTGTACATCTGTCTCCTCTGTTAGACTGGAGGCTATTTGCGGTCATGAACTTAGTCACCAAATCACCACATGATGACAGAGAAGAGGTATGATCTCAATGTAAACTGACTAGAAGCTTCCACAGTATATCTAAGGGGAGGAAGTCTGCCTTTGGAATTCTGAAGTGAACATGGACTTATCTTGGAGTAATACAGCCCTCAGAGAGACCAGGCACACGATGTCTATCTCAGAACTAGAGAGGTTGGAGCACATCTCTTCTTTTCTCTCCATCAAGGCACAGAGCCAACAGTGGTGAGCTGGATTGTACAACTCACCTCCTTGTTGGATCCCATTACTAAAAACATAGATACTACTCTCACTGGCTCCCTAGAATAGTGAATGTTAAAACCTCTGCTAGCAAGCACTTCAACATGCAAGTTGTACACCATTTAATTCGTTTCTAATATTAAGAGAATTCTTCTAAAATGAGAATATGTCCAAAAGAAACAATGCTATGATGAGTCCATGAACTTTAGCCATAAACTGTAACTACCTAGTTTAAGAGATTTTAAAAATATTGTGTAATTCTAAAACCATAATATTCCATGAAATTTATTATAAGATCAAAATATCACAATATGTTATATAAAATATGTTTAATATATTTTCTCTTATCCTATATTCTTAAAAATATATTATATAAATACATAAATGCATTATATAAAATACGTTACAGATCACAAAACTATGATCTGCATACAATAATAGTCATTATATGACTATTAATACCACCCCTACAACAGTTACATTTTCATTAAGGAATTCATATGTTGCAGGCACTGAAGCAAGTGCATTAACCAATAACTTTCTGGTAGACATAGATTATTATTATAACACTAAAGGCCTGGTGCATGAAATTCATGCACTGGAGTAAGGAAGGGGGGGTCCTACAGCCCAGCCTGCACCCTCTCCAATCTGGGTCCCCTCAGGGGATGTCCAACTGCTGGTTTAGGCCCAATCCCTCTCACAATCTAGGACTGCTGGCTCCCAACCATCCACCTGCCTACATGCCTGATTGCCCCTAACCACTTCTGCCTGCCAGCCTGACCACCCCCTAACTACTCCCTGCCAACCTCATCAGTGCCTAACTGCTCCCCTGCTGGCCCAATTGCCCCAAAATGTCCTCTCCTGTAGGCCCAATTTTCCCCACTGTCTTCCCCTGCTGGTTCAGGTGGCCGCAACTGCCTTCCCCTGTTAGCCCAGTCACCACCAACTGCCTTCCCTTTCGTCCCTAACTCCCTCCCCTGCAGGCCTGATCTTGTCCCAAACTGCCCTTCCTTGCTGGCCTGGTCACCCTCAACTGCCTTCCCTTGCAGCCCGGACCCCCACAACTGCCCTCCCTTGCCGGCCTGGTTTCCCCCAACTGCCCTCCCCTGCTGGACATCTTGTAGTGGCCATCTGTGTGAGGGTATGACAGTCAATATGCATATTGCCTCTTTATTATATAGGATATGAGAAAACTGAAGCTAGAATTTAAATAGGTTTTACTGGTCATGGAGCTAGAAAGAGTACCAGGCCTATCTCAAGTACTTGAACATCTAACCTCTAATTACAATGTATTGGAAACTGATATTTTTAATAATAAACATTCATATTACAGTTGGTACAGACCACAAAGATGCTAAGCATCTGGACACTTGTCATAATAGAAGTGATATGACATCCAGAATGCTACTAAGAGGATCCCTTCAAAGAGTTTACATCCCAGTTAAGGTTTGTCATGATGCCCTTTAGAATTTGCATTGATGTTATTGGAAATACATTTATTCATTCAACAAATATGTACTGAATAAGTGAGATAAAAAAAAATTCAAGCCCATACACATTTAAGAAAAACGACATGAATTTTAAAGAGTAAAAGGGGCAAACAGAATGCTAATCAAATAACCCAGGTGGAAATTATAAAGTTCTGAATTAAAATAGTAGCAGTAAGACTAGAAAGATCAGAGTGGACATAAGAGATACCTGTAACCAACTTTTAAGGGACAGTAGACAAAATAAGGTTTCTGTTAGGTGAATGGATGGCAGTGCCAAAGAATGACATAGAAAATAAAGAATGAGAAAATGAGACTTTGTGAGAAAGATGGTGAATCTTGTTTCAGGCAGTGAAATGAAATTCCTCTGGCCTGCCAGTAAGAGGTAGAAATATGACTTTGGAGTTTCTGATGAGAGGTATAAATTAGGGAGTTAATGGCACAGAGTGTAACTGAATTCCAGGGAAACAAGATGAAAGGCAGAAGATAAAAGTGAGGATGGAGACCACTGGAGTTTGATAGGTAAGGAGGGGGTGCAGGATAAATAGGGCTACTTCTTCTACAGTCAATACTGATAAAACATGTCTAGTGCCAGTTTATCTTTGATCAAGTCCTACTATTCTTTGCTCTCTTGGGAAACTGAGAAGGTTGAGTGTGTCTGGGTTGTCACCATAGTTCAAACACCATCAAGATTATACTACATCCATAAATATGCAGTAGGGTCTCACAATTTGAAACTTTGTGAGGACACACTTTAAAGTGAGTTTATAAAACAATATTTCGATTTGCTTAAGTGCTAAGAAGTACTTGTCCATTTATTTTATACTAGAGGCCTGGTGCACTGATTTGTGTGCAGTGGGGACCCTCGGCCTGGCTTGCGGGGACTGGGCTGAAACTGGCTCCCTGACAACCCCCAAGGGGTCTCAGATTACAAGAGAGTGCAGGCCAGGCTGAGGGACCCCACCAATGCACAATCGGGGCATAGAAGGAAGAGGGAGGGAAAGTGGAAAGCAAGGGGGCTGCGGCTGCTGGAGGGAAAGCACTGGTAGCACGTGCAGGGCGGGCAGCCACGGAAATGGTGGTGGAGGTAGCCTTTATTGCACTATTGTCTGCCCGTGGGTCATACATATATGCATTTAAGTTTTTTGGTTAATCTCTGCTCCTCCCTCCTTCTCCCATTCCCTGAGATTCATCAATCTGCTCCATGCTTCCATGTCTCTGGATCTATTTTATTCATCAGTTTATTTACTTGAGTCCACATATGAAAGCTATCATGTGATACTTATCTTTCTCTGGCTAGCTTATTTCACTTAGCATAATACTCTCCAGGTCCCTCCATGCTATCTCAAAGAGATCCTTCTTTTTTATAGCTACATAGAATTCCATGGAATAAATGTACAACAGCTTTTTTATCCACTCAACTGCTGGTGGGAACTGGCTGTTTCCAGATCTTAGCCAGTGCAAATTGTGCTGCTATGAACATAGAGTGCATACATTCTTTCTGATTGGTGTTTTGGGATTCTTTGGATATATTCCTAGAAGTGGGATCACTGGGTCAAATGTCAGTTCCACATTTAATTTTCTGAGGTGACTCTATACTGTTTTCCATTGGGGCTGCACCAGTCTGCATTCCCACCAGCAGTTTTATGTGAGGATTTCCTGTTCTCCACATTCTCTCTAGCACTTGTTGATTTGTTGATGACAGCCTTTCTGACAGGTATGAGGCTACACCTCATTTGAGCAGCAAGTTTTGATTACTTTGTACAAGGTCTCCTTCATCCATTCGGAGACCTCACCACTATGAGGTGATTGACTATGTAACCTCCGATGTAAGAGTACAGATTTATTCCATATACTGAAAAAATGTGACAGAGAATCCAAAAACTGGCACCAAAGTAAGTAATGATTTCTTATTTTAGAAAGTAAATAAGGATTAGATGAGTGAAAACTTTCAACAGGAACTTTTACATCCTTTTACCACCAAATAGGCATGTCATACCTGGAGGTCTTTTTCTTCTATCTTCTTCTGCAGCACTTCAAGGCACTTGGTGAAGTCAGTATGGTCCTGGTCAGGAGTTGAAATGATCTCACATCCCTATGTGTTAACAGAAGACAAAAGGTAAATAAGTAATGATGTCAACCTTATGAACACCATCAAGAGCTATAAAAGTAAAGATAAGGTATCAACAGTGACATCCTATTATGTCTGTATTACATCCCGATCATTAGAATCATTGCCCTGTTATCTTCTTTATTGCACATAACAGGACATCTCAGGAATGGTGTCAGAATAGCAAAATAATGGTCTGATTGTGAAAATCATTTTTACCAAGAAAAGATACAGATTTGACTACATTAATGGTCTTTAAATTTCATGGCAGCAATGACATTCAAGATTAATATAAGAACTCTGATCAAGGTTTATAAAATATAGTCACAGGGAAATAACCTTAAGTTAAAACTATTGCTGAGAAACTTTAAATTTCTTTGAGCAGGCCTCCTATATTTACTTACATGAATGGAAAAAGTAATATTAATATTAATACTACATTTTAAGTAAAACTAAGTGAGATGACCTATAAAACTCCAATTTTCTTATGTAAAAAGCAGCAGGAAGAGTCTGCCTGTGTGAATATGTCTCTTGGATTATCTTCTGGACATAATGAAGTGAAGTTATAAGTTCTTCACCTCTTGTCCAACAGATACCTCACCTACTAAAAAGCACTGAAATCTTTTTAAAAATTTAAAGCCACAAGAGTGCTAGCTTGTTGACATCAGTGAATGTAGATGACTAAAGGAAAGATATTTTTGAAATGACACATTTCCCTCCAACATCTTACAGGGGGAAAGGTATGTAAAACTAGAGGGAATGAGACTTCAGACTTCTTGAATCAGGAATAAAAACAATTTGAGGCCTCTGAAAAACAGCTGAGTACAGAAAAGGTAAATATAATCTACTATATAAAGGTGCCATACAAACAGTTTTCAAGGATAGAAAACACCTATACTATCTCTTAAATTATTCCAAGAACCATTCTCAGTAGATATAAAGATTCTTTTTTTAACTTCAAGGTTCTTTAAAAGTGGTAAGCTCAATCTGTGTCTTTTTCATTTATGAATGCCCTACAATGTGGTGACCAATAAAAAATTAATTTCTCATAATTTCTAAACTTATTATGCTCTTGAAGACATATATGTCATCTTTATAAGATCGACATGTACTTTCCTGACCCTAAAAGCACACTGAGCCTGGCCAGTTTGGCTCAGTGGTTGAGCATCGACCTATGAACCAGGAGGTCCTGTTTTGATTCCTGGTCAGGGCACATGCCTGGGTTGTGGGCTTGATCCCTAGTGTGGGGCATGCAGAAGGCAGCTGATCAATAATTCTCTCTCATCATTGATGTTTGTGTCTCTCCCTCTCCTTTCCTCTATGAAATCAATAAAAGTATATGTATATTTTAAAAGAACATTAAGCGAGGGCATAAAGAATGGACTGGTCTCAGGCTAACATTCCTAAAAAGAAAGATATTAGGCTATTCCAGAGCATACAGGAATATGATCAGGGCTGAGGGCTGAATTGTCACTAAAGCAAAAGTTGCTTTTCTGTAAGTTCCCTGAGGACAAGAATTATGTTCCAGTCATTATTGTTTCACTGCCTGGCACCAGTCTGCTACATAGTAAAGATTCAATAAATGTTAAATAATATTCTTAAGGAAAAAAAAATGTATGCTAGCAAAAGGATAGGAGAGTGTGGCATCTTATTGCTAAATATAGCCAATGCTATAATGGAAAAGTTCTCTTAAGTGCTGATAATAGAAACCACTGCAATAGTAAAAAGAAACAAAATTAAAAAGCAAGTAGAAACAGCAAAATAAGAGATGATTAATAGATGGTTGTCTACCTTAAAGTTATCTTCACAGAATTAACATCCTCAGGAAAACTTATAGTTAAAGAGAACCCAAGAAATAATCTAGTGCCACTATAACATTATGGAGATGAAGAAAACAAAAACAAGAGATTTAAATTGACTTGTTAACCACTGGACAGCAAGGTAAGCAACAGCATTAATGTCACATCTATAATTCCGCCCCCACCCTTTTTTTTTTTAAATCCCATGAAGTGGGAACAAATTCCTAGAAATCTAATAGAAAAAGTTCATATAATATCTTTAGAGTTGGTTCCACAGGAATGGTATTACATATAAAACTGCTTGAAATATATGAGCAAGGCTTCAATAACATCTTATTTTATTTCAACAATTTAAGATAGACACATAGAAAAGCTTAAGTCAGGCCAGAGAAGATTACCATAACTGAAAAATTTTCATTATAAACCAAGAACCTCTAGAAGCTCTACTTGGGGTATTTATCAGCCACCCACAGCTTCTTGGAATTTCATGAGTTTAAATGATTCTAATCTAATCACAGGTTGACAAGGAATTCAATAGAAGTAAAAAACAGCTCCTAGCCTGGGCAGGGGAACTTCCAACACCTACAAAGGAGGCCTATGAAATAAAGTGCAACAATAGACCTTTGGCTAAATAAAATGTTCTCACTGTTTTCTGAGTCTTATGATAACATATTAAGATCTAATGGAGAATATAAAGCTAAATTGATAAAATATTAAAGCCCTGCAGAGAAGGAAAATGTAGAAATGATTGCTAATAGGTATTAAGCAATGCTCACCTCTTATACATTAACTAGAGGCCTGGTGCATGAAATCGTGCCTGGGTGGGATTCTTCCGGGTAGCCTGTGGGGATTGGGCCTAAACTTGCAGTCCAATACTGCCAGCTGCTCCTGTCTGCCACTCCAGCCCCACTGCACTTGCTGTGGGCTTGAGTCTAGTCAGTCCCATTGGGAGAGGCTCGTACCACTACAGCCATGAGCCCTGTGTCTGGCGCCCATCCTGAGGTGGGTGGGGAGTGGCCAGGACATGATTTGTCCTCAGGTGGGTGTTAGGATGCCCTTGCAGGCCCAGGATCTGGATACATTCTGCAGACATTCATGCCAGTTGTCAGGAGCCACCTGACTGCCCCTAGCTGCCCTCCCCTGCTGGCTTGGTCACCCCTAACTACCCTTCCCTGCAGGCCTGGGTCCCGCCCAACTGTCCTTCTTGCAGGCCCAGTTGCCCCCAACTTCCGTCCCCTGCAGGCTTGGTCCCTCCCAACTGCCCTCCCCAGCTGGCCATCTTGTGGCAGCCATCTTGTATCCACATGGGGGCAGCCATCCTGTGTGTTGGCTTGATGGTCAATTTGCATATTACTCTTTTATTATTGATAGATAATCATATTATCATTATATTTATGACATAATTATTTTTTTCTTTGCTATCAAACATACTATTATGATCAATATCTCTAGTTATTTTCTTAGAATTGAATTCTAGGAACAATAATGGGAAAATTATAAGCACATTTTAAAAATCCTTGTTAGATATTGCCAGAGTGCTTTCTAGGAAGGCTCCAAAAATGTATATTCCTAGTAGTAACATATGTGGGTGAAAAATATCTTTTTTTAAAACAACACTAAGAAAGATAGTTAATGATGAATTTCTTTAAAATTTTTTTTGATTGATATATTTTAGGGAAAGAGAGGAAAGGAAAGGGAGTAAGAAAAAGAAAAAAGAAACATGTTCCACTTATTTATACATTAATTGGTTGATTTTTATATGTGTCTTACCGGGAATCAAATGAACAATCTTGGCATATGTTCTAACCAACTGAGCTACCTGGCCAGGGCTCATCATGAATTTCTTACTGTGAATTAATTTAATTGCTTCTTAATAGTAAACAGAGATAAGTTTCATTCAGGGAAAGATGTCTTTCATTGGCCAGGAAGGAAAGAGAGTTATGATAATTGGGAGTGGTGTGAAGCAGGGATGAGGACTACAGTATAAAAAATGGACACTTCTGGGAGGGGGAATAGTTGTCAATCACAGTCTCAGAATAAAGAAGATAAGATACTACCTAAGATAATTTTTCAAGTGGTTCTGAACACATGAAATATAACTTACTATCCCATTACATTAGAATTTTTTTGGTAAATGATCACTCTCAAAAATGTAGCTTCCACACACTTTATTATCTTCAAGTCACGACACTGAAGTTGCCTCTATTCTTGTATTTAAGCATGATATACACTTTAAAATATTTTGAGGAGATATATTCAGGAATCTTCTAAAAACTGAACATATTAATTTTTAATAATGACTTTCCACAATCACTTGTTATACTGAGTTGACCAGAACTCTGTAATAAGAGACCACCTGCCAGTTTAAAAGTGCAATAGCATAAAGCAAAATGACATACACTCTAATAATCAAAGAAACAGATCCAAAATTGGCCCAAATAGTTCTAAAATATTCCAAGAGGAATAGTTAGAGCAAATTGGAATCTATGGCTCCTGATACGGGAATGAAAATCCTCCTTTACCCTGTTGAGAGAGAATCACAAAGTTTCCATTTTCCACTTTCCTCTTCATTGTATAAAGCACACTGGGGTAGATTGCTCCTTCTGTCTTATTTACCAGCCTCCTAAAAAAATCTCTACTTTTCAAATAAAAAGATGTTCTTAAATCATCCAATGACAGCCGACAAATAACCATTTTTTCAGCAGGAATGTCACATGATTAAACTCTAAGTAATAAGTTGCCTCTTGCTGGTTTTCTAGATGGTATACTATAAAAGAAAGTTATAAACACAATTTAACCTTGTAGCCATTCTCCATTCAATCCAAAACATAAAGAGACATTCTAATCTACTGTAATCTGCACTGCCCTGGGTGTTACAAGATAATTTTTCCTTTCAAAGTGGCACTGAATGAAAACTACAGCACTTCAAACAAGAAAGTCACCATTTCTCTTAATGGAAGTCAAAAGCTTTTTTTGAACAGCAGAAGCTCTTAAATGATGGCTTCCATCCTTAAAGGCAGAGCCAGCATTCTGAATGGAAGAGGATGCCCCAAAGAGTTAACATAGCAACTTGAGAATGCTCTTCTTACAAAGGCCTGCTGGCAAGGTTGGCCCTTGGTTGACATCTGAAAGCTTAAATGGGTAATAGCGCCCTATACTGATTTAAACACACACACACACACACAC